CATGGCTGTAGGTGTTCCCAGGACCAGGGGTTTCAAACTCACCTGTGCCCAGGGGCCAGGCAGGTACTGTGAATGGACCTATGACTATAAGGATTGGTAGGATAGTGACCTATTTAAACAGGAACAGCTACTGTTTTCAGCTGAGGACAGCCTTGCAGAAATGCTAGCTAGCCCTGGGTTGGAAGAGGAGCTAGGGGTTCAGGTTTTTATGTGAAAATTTCCTGGGTTTTAAATGTTGGCAAAACAGTATGTGAGTCAAAGAAAAACACATTCATGGGCCAGATCTAGCCCCTAGGCCACCAATTTGCAACCTGTGCCCACAATCTTCAAGGAGCAGTTTGGGAGACCTGGGCAGAGGGCTAGAGCAAGTCCACTCCTGAGTGCTCCAAGACAGCTCTGTCTGATGGTGATACTGCAACTATTTTACCTGTCCCCTAGGCACCACCATAGGACCAGGTGAGGGCTGTACTTGACAGATGAGGAAACAGACTTAGGTTACCTGAGGTCATCTGGCATATGAGGGTGAAGAGAGTCCCTGCGGGGGATGGCTCTTTGCAGGCACTTGACTGGAACTGAGGCAAAGCTGGCTGGCCCTGGGAGGGAACTCAGCTGTTCTAATGGTCCCAGGAAGGCCCAGCCAGCTTAGGCTCTTCTATTCTCTCCCCTGCAGTGGCGAGAGGAGCGCTTCCGTCAAACCAGCGAGAGCACCAACCAGAGGGTGCTGTGGTGGTCCATTCTGCAAACCCTCATCCTTGTAGCCATCGGCGTCTGGCAGATGCGACATCTCAAGAGCTTCTTTGAAGCCAAGAAGCTGGTGTAGCCATCCTTCCCCCAAGGCTGGGGGAGAAAGGGCCTCCTGGAACTGATTTCTCTCTGGCAGGAGGACTGGTTTTCAGCCATGGATATTCTGGAGGGGAGAGGGGCCACAGGCACTCCAGGCACAAGCTGAGGGCAGGAGCTTGAATGGCTAATACTGAGCAGGTGGTGGGACAAGTGCTTGTCCTCTCCCCTGGGCTTTGGCCCTTCGCAGTAATTTCCTAGGGGGCTGGTAAAGCCACTGGGACGCCCTTTGGCACCTCCGAATCACAGTGTTACTGATCAGGGATGCAAGGCTGTTGATTGGGTTGGCTGGGAGAGGGGAGTGGGTGGGCAAGCCAGGCTTTTGTCTTCCTTTGCTAACTTGGATTTTGAGCAGTTATGTTGTAGCTATGATTCCCTGCCACCTTGGGAACCTCACTGTTCCTAGCTTGGGTCTTGACCCAGCCCGCTGATCCAGGGGGGTGTGTGTCATTTGAGGGTGGGGTAGAGGGCTGCAGTGTGGGAAAGTGGCCCTAAGGTTGACCCCAGGTTCTACACATGGTTGTCCTTTGAGGGGCTTGAGGGACTGGGATCAGAGAGAGCAGAGGTCTCGGTGCTGCCTGGGGATGTGGCCTGCAGAGTTTTAGTTACTGATTTCATTTTCAATAAGCCTAGCTTTTTATGTTGGTTTCCCAATAAAAAAAAAAAATAGACTTTTTGTCCAGTGTAAAGTCACTCTACTTACTATCAGTGGGCATAACACCGTGAGCTGCTTCAGGAAATGTCAGTTCTTTCACTGGGCAAAGCACTTCACATTCCAAGATGAGTACCCACCTATGACCTTCATTCTCCGTCTTCTCCATACCTCTTGCAGTAGAGGGTAGTGGTTTTGCCCAAGATTATCAAGTAAATTGTGGGGTTGGTGCTCAAATCCACACCATTTCCTCTGCACCAGCTCGCTCATAAAGTACCCTCCTTACCTTTCCAGAGTAGGTGGATTCAGTAGCATTGTAGTGCTTCAAAGAAGTGCCTGCTTAGGATAGAGTGCATTGAACAGAAATGCTGCTGTTGTGGGAAGGACAGAAATCCTTGGGCTGGTAGGGGTGAGGATACTGATGGGCTTAACCAGTAGCATGGGATTTCAGCAAGGACCTTGGAGGAAGGATTCTGATTAAAGGAAGCAGGGCAGGGGTGATTGGGAAAATCAGAGGCAAACAGCTAGTCTGAAGATGGATGGGCATTGTTTCAGCTGGAGTTGTGGGGGAGGGGTTGTGAGAAGGCTGGAAAGGAAGGTTTAAAGTGAGAAGGGCCTTGAGCCCCAGTTAAGAGATTTGTACATTAGCCACTGTTCAAAGTTTTGAGTAGGAGAATCCCCTGAATATAAATTAGAGGAAGTTTGATCCAGCAGTGTGTGAGAAAGGAACTAGGAGAGACAATTTGGGAGACTACTTGATCAGCTGGGGGTATGTAATCTGAGCTCATTAACACTCAGACCTCCACAAACTTTTAGAAATTACAAGATAAACTTCTATTAAAATTCTAAAATAAACTTTTAGAATTACAAGAAAATTGTGATGATAGTTTCCTCTATTAATGCCATGCCTTAACTATGGTACATTTGTTACAAATTAATGAACCAATAACATTATTTTAAACTAAACAATGTGCTTTATGCAGATTTCCTTAGTCATTACCTAAAGTCCTTTTTCTGTTCCAGGATCCCATCTATGATACCACATTACGATTTGTTGTCTCCTTGGGCTTCTCTTGGGTATGACATTTTCTCAGACTTTCCTTGTTTTTTATTACCTTGACAGTTTCCAGGAGTACTGGTCAGGTATTTTGTAGAATTTCCTTCAATTGGAATTTGCTGTTTTTCTCATGATTGGACTGGGGTTCTGGGTTTTTGCAAGGAAGACCACAGAGGTAATGTTCCATTCTCATACCATAATGTCAAGGGTACTTATTATCAACATGACTTGATATCACAGTTTAAAATTAGTTAATTTGGATTATTATGTGAAATCTGATTTCTTGAGATAAATTGGGTCTGACGCTGGTAGGCCTTCATCCGACAACAGTCAGCTCTGCTGAACGGTAGCTGTCTCCTTTAGATGGGCTTGTGCCCTCCCGGTCACAGTCCCACCTCCCTGCTTCCATCTTTGACCTTAACTGGTCTCTGCAAGGGGTCAGCCTCACCTTTGTTATCAGCCAAACCTAAGCTGGATTTGCCAAGATTCTGGTATAGGGTACAGTGTCCTGGGAGAGTAAAGGGGACTGCCGTTGTGTGCTGTTGTGTTTAAGGGAGAAAGGGGGCTGCTGGGAATGATTAATTTCCTGCCCATAGGAAGCAGAGTAGTTGAGACCGTTGATTGTGCAACCAAACTACCTGGTCTTACGTGCTGAATTGTCTCTGTTCCTCAGTTCCCTCATCTTTAAAGTGGACATAATAAGCACAATACTCAAGAACCGAATGAGATAACAGTAGTAAAGAATTTAAAACAATGACTGCATGTAGTAAAAACTTGATGTTAGCTATTTATTGGAAAACTTGAAATTTGCCTGGAAGAGCAGAGGAGATCAAGACTAATAATTCTGTTGCTCTTTTCCCAGGTGGGAAGCTGGCCCAGCGGGGGCTCAGTTCCAATAGTTACAGGGCAAATATGGGAACTCAATCTCCTTACAGTATTCCCTTCAGTTCTCACCTCAACTCCACCAAAGTACCCGGCTCCTGGATGATAGCTGTCATTTATATAGCTTTGACTGTTGGGCCTACAGTTGTACCAAGTGCATTTTCTCCTTTGATCCTCACCACAACCATGTAGATCAGAAAATATTTATACTCACGTATGAGTATAGATGAGATTGCACCTTGTCCCCAAACAGCTGAATTGGCAGAGTCAGTTTTCGAATCCAGTCAATCTGTCTTTAGTGCCTGGCTCCTAACTACCCCTTGCGGTGTCAGCTGAACCTAAGACTGAGCCCTGAGCTTGGCTTTGTTCTCTTCCAAGCTTGTTACGGAGGAATAATGCACCTGGGTTAACAGCAGGTCTATCCGGACGCTCCCTGACTTCTCTTGGGAAGAGGAGGAAGATGCAAATTGTTTCAGGGCGCCGGTTTGGAAATCTAGAGTCCAAGTTCAGTCCCAGGCCAGTGACTTGAGCACCCCCCTGGGGCCTCAGTTTCTCGGGATGTTAAGCGGGGAGGAAAATTAGAGTCAGGAGTAGCACTCGCGTTACTCGGCACACGGAACCTTTGACGTCGCAGCTCCTGGGAGCAGACGGCACCGCCGGAGCCGAGGACCAGGAGGAACGAGGGGCGGAGCGGATGAGCCTGGGCGGGGCGGGAGGCGGAGGCGCCGCGTAGGCCGGCGAGGCTGGGCCCGCCCGGCTGGGAGCTCAAACCCCATGCGCCGCCGCCTCCCCCCACGATGTTCCCCTCCCGGAGGAAAGCGGCGCAGCTGCCCTGGGAGGATGGCAGGTGAGCGGCAGCGGCTGGCCCGGGCCCGGTCCTCCCGGGTGCCGATCTTTTCCGGCCACCGCACGGAATCTAGGAGCCCGAGGCAGTCGCGTCTCAGTCTCTGCCGGGCACTCTGAGGGTCTGTGGTTTTTCTATTGGGTCACTCGCTGTCTCTGTATTTGGCTGTGTGTCTCTCGCTATGTGTATTTTTCTCTAACAGTGTCCGTCACTCCGCAGGTCTCCGTCACCCGCGGGTCTGTATTTCTCCATTGACTTCCTTTGTGAGTTTCTGTCCCTGTCTTTGCAAGTCGCTGCCTTTCATGGGTCTCTGTGTTTCTCCACTGGCTTCTATCTTTGTGCGGGTCTCTGACTCCGTTAACCTCTCGGTGGATCTCTGTCTTTCTGTCTGTCCCTCTCAGAGGATCTTTATTCTGTTCCTCTGGTCTCTGCCTCTCCGTCACATCCATGTGGGCTCTGACCCTCCCCTTCCTTTGCTGGCTGCCCAAAAGAAAACACCAGACAGAAGCTCTGTCTTTTCTGCCTGTCTGGCCACTGTCTGGCACTTACTAGGCACTCCTCACACATAACACTAGTTCATTTCCGGTATAACTGTAATTGAATGGGGCCTTCTTCATGCGTTAGGTATGGACTTGGCCCAGACCTTGGCTAATAATGTTTCTCACTAAAGCAGAATTGGAGTGAGGGAATTATTTGGCTGCCAGCATTTGAGAGGACACTTCAGTCTTGAGATGTGCCCCCAAACTCTTCTTACCTAAAACTCATAGTGGGTCTCTACCCTGTGAATCACACCTCTTGCCTCTTACATCTATTAAGTTTGCCAGGTGTCAACAGATTCTGGAATATAGTGGGCACAACTCTTTACCTTTGGAGATTTTTCAGAGTTGGTATTGAAGTAAGAAGACAGGAATATGATAGAAAGAAAGCCTGAACCGTGGAGTCAGTCCTGGGCAAAAATCCTCTTTAATAGCTATGTGACCAGAAACAAGTCACTTAATCTTTCTGTCCTTGGCTTTTCCATCTCTGAAACAGAGATCATAATAACTACTCTGCAGGGCAGTATGAGGATTAAAGGAGATAATATATGTAAAACTCTTGACATTGTGGCTGACACAGAGGTGTCTTCCAGTTACCTTTGCAGTTTGGAGGTGCTGTAACCAGAGCAGTTGAGTGTTCAAACTTTGTATCACGGAGATTTGACAGAGAAGAAAGGAAAGGTAAAGGGGGAAAATCTCCATTTCCTAGTCCCTTTCCATAAACCTTTGGAACATAACTGTGTTCCCAGAAAAAGTTACTGATGTTAATTCTTGCTTTTGACACAGGGATACAAAGATCCACACAACCGATGTAGGCTAATATAGCAATTAAAAGAGTGCTGGCTCTGGAGCCAGCCTGCCTGGGTTTGAATCTTCCCTTTTCTAGCTTTGGGCACAGATTGATGGAGACAAAACCTCATCTGGTCTGCCCTTCAGCAGGGTGGCCTGGGCCTGGGAGCTGCTGGGACTGCAGATCTGGAGTTTGCCACCAGGTGGCACCATGAGCAACTATTCTCAGTATCCACTGTCCTGAGGAATTGGGACTCCGCTCTAAATTCAGTTGTCTACGCCAGGTTTGAGCGTAGGATGTGAGTGCCCATAGGATGTGATCCTGGTGAGGGAACAGCACTTGAAGGTTCATGGAATGCCCAATTCGTGCTGTACCCTTGGATAATGGTCACTGCTTCTTCCCCTGAAGGTGGGATAGTTCCCCATGTCTATCTCCCCGGTCTCCACCTCACCCCAGAAAGAATCTTGGAGGGAGAATGTGTAGAGATTCCAGCCTCCCCAGGCAACTGGCAGAATTGGGCTCTGCTCCTCTCAAGCGGAAACCCCCACAACAGGACAATGGGGGGTAAGTCAGAAGGCCTCTGAGAAGGTGTCCTGCCCAGTCCTCTCTCTGCTGTGTATGGGACCTGGGCCTGGCTTCAGGGCTGCTGGCTTCCAGATTGGCTGTTGTGCTGCTAGAGATAGGCAGGATTTGGTGTGACTTAAAGTGTGCCCTGACTGTTTGAACCCTTCCTCTAACTCACTTAGCACTCCCTCTGCTGTGTGACCTGTGCTGGGGCCACAGATAGGAGTCTGATTACCGGTAGGGAAGACCAGCAGACACACAGTTGATCACAAAACTCGAGTCTTCCAAAGAGGGAAGTACCAGATGCCATGGAAACACAAAAGAGGGCTCAGGTATCTCATTTTGTGTGCATGTGGGGAGGTGGGCAGTGCTGGCCATGACATTGGAGTTTGGCCCTGAAGAATCAATAAGGAGCATTTTAGGCAGAAGCAGCAAGCTGTGTGAAGGCTGGAGCAGGAAAGAATGTAGTGAGTGGAGAAGCTCAGAGTTGCCCAAACTGTAGCACATGGTTGATAGGGAGCAACTGGAGATGGCGTCAGGTCACAGAGGGGTTTGACTATCAGGCCAAGGAATTTGGCTGTTATAAACAGAAGGGGCTCATTCATGAGATTGAAGGGGTCTGAGCCAGGCAAGGACCAGATGAGACCTGAGCTAAAAGAGAGGCAGTGGTGAGGAAGGGACAAGGGGCACTTAGGAGGTAGAATTATAAGGCTGGCAGCTAGCTGGTGACTCTTAGAGGTTATAAAGTAGATTGCTTGGCAGATTACTTGGGGAGTGGGTGGGTGGGTGGAGAGTACAGAGGAAACTTCTTGTATTTGGATTCCTCAGCTCCTCTTCCACTATCCTCAGGAACTTCCAGAGAGAGGGGCAGAGAAACCAAGTGAATTCTACCTGTTTCTTTGTATTTTCTAACCTTTAGGGCAGTCTCTCCCAGCACTACCCACATGTCTAAGATATCCAGCTGTCTTCCCAGTTTCTGAAATGAGCCTGGGTGCTGGCCCCAACTCTTGTCCTTCTTTCCCTTGTCCATCTCTCATTTCTTGTCACATGCGCTGCCTTTCAAACTGAAACTTTGAGACTCGTTCAGTGACCTGCCACTGTCAGTTTGGGCCTTGCCTTGGTTTGGGGGCAGATTTGATCTTCTCAGACAGAGTAAATGAAAAAATAAATTTTTTTTTAACTGGGGACTGATGCTAGCATAGGTCCGGTCTTGGGGAGCTTTCTGGTGTGAGAAGCAGGACAAAGCCAACGTTTCAGCTGGCGGTGAACCTGCAGGGGAGCAGGTGTGGAAGGCAGTGGGTGGGATCTCTAAGGCAGGGCTCCTGCCATCAGCTCAGGACAGGAGCCACTGTCCTGGGGAGGGGCAAGTGCTAGAGATAAGGAGCCTCGTCCCTATCCTCATGGCCTGACTCACTCAGAAAGTTCTGTGACCTGGAAGTGGTTAGAGGGCTTCCTGGAGGTGGGGGCAGGGGCTGGGCCTAGAACAGTAAGCAGGATTCTGATGCACAGTAGCAGCATGAGCAAAAGCACTAAAGTTGCTTCTGCACTAATTCCCAGGTGCTTGGGGCATACCAGTCATGTGTGTCCTACTGGTGGGGAAGCATGAGAAGGGGACAGCACAGGGCCCCAGCTCAGTCCTGCCCCTCTGACCTGTCCCTGCTCTTGTCGCAGGTCCAGGTTGCTCCCTGGCAGCCTCCCCCGGAAATGCTCCGTCTTCCACCTCTTCGTTGCCTGTCTCTTACTGGGCTTCTTCTCCCTGCTCTGGCTGCAGCTCAGCTGCTCTGGTGACATGGCTCGGGCAGCCAGGGGACAAGGGCAAGAGACCCCAGGCCCACCCCGGGCCTGCCCGCCAGAGCCACCCCCTGAGCACTGGGAAGAAGACCCATCGTGGGGCCCCCACCGCCTGGCAGTGCTAGTGCCCTTCCGTGAGCGCTTCGAGGAGCTTCTGGTCTTTGTGCCCCACATGCATCGCTTCCTGAGCAGGAAGAAGATCCCGCACCACATCTATGTCCTCAACCAGGTGGATCATTTCAGGTAGGGGCCACCTGACCAGCTGTCCCTTTCTGAGGGCCTCTCTTTGCCCAGGCCCTTTGGAGCCTGCTCCCTTTCCTGGCAGCAGTTCAATATCTGGTGGGTCACAGACAAGAGGTTAGGAGGCGATAGACCCTACTCATTGGGAGTAGCAGGAATCTTTGGGGAGAGTTTGGGGCTGGGGAAGCCCCTGTTCTGATTTCTGTTTTAAAAAGGTCCTTGTGGCTGTCGTATGTGGAGTAGATTATACCAGGACAAGTGGAGGAGCTGTGGGTGGTTACTGTAGGCACCTGCGATGAGGAGGCCCGGCCAGCATGGCAGAAGGGCTGGAGGAAGCATAGACAGGGCTTGCTGGTGGATTGGCTGTCGAGTTAGGGAAAGGGAGGGTCAACACCATGGCTCGAAAGTTGTTCATAGTCTGGCGTTATCCTGAAATCCTTGCCCTTCCCCAAAACTTCTTTCCATGATCACAGTCGGAGCATCTCACACTCCACGCCGACCTTTCCCTCCAGCCTTCTCCCACTGGAGACAGACTCCGACAGTTCTTGGACCCCACCAGTCCCTTTAGTCTGTGATGCTCCCAGTTTTCTCTGCCCACCTTCCTCCTCCTTACTTCCTCCTGACCTAACTTGGATTTCATGGTCCATCGTTAAAATCACTCCTCTGCATAGGCCTCAGCACCCTTGCCCCTTTCTGCCTGGCACGACTTCTACTTGATGAAACCTCACTGTCTGCTCCACACCTGCACCGGGGTGCCAGATGTGGCTGAGGACAATGAACCCTGGCCCAGGAAGGCTCTCAGAGTCTTCCAGCTGCTGCCTGTTCCCTCTCCTCCCCATTCTCCCCTAGCTGGTGACTTTGCTTCCTATTTGAGAAAGCAGAACCAATTGGAAGAGAACTTGCCCACGTCCCCACCTCCTGGACCCACATTCCAGCTTCTGTGCAGGGTCTTATGGACACCCTGTCCTACCTCCACCAGAACCAGCTCTTCCACTGCCACTGGGTCCCTTTCCTGCATCTGACATCACTCCAATTGTGTGTCCCTTTCTCTCCTGCATGATCAGCTTTTTCTTCCCTCCTGGAGCATTTGTATCTGCATACAACATGCTAAAGTAGCTCCTATCTAAAAAAAGACCTTTGAATAAAACGTTGTCATTTTTATAAAAAAAAAAAAAAAAAAAAAAAGACCCCCTTGGTCTCATGTCGCCCACAGCTATCACCTCATTTCTCTGCTCCCCTTTATAGCAAAACTTCCCCTTCTCTCACTTTGTCGAACCTCGTCCACGCAGATGTTTACCCACATCATGCCATTAAAACAGCTCTCAGCAACTTCACCGAAGAGCCCACCTTGTTGATCACTTTCATCTGTAGGCCTTTTCTTCCTCAGACACCTCTATCTAACTTCTGGGCAACACTCTCCCAGTCACCTCCTCCTTCACTGGCTGCCCTCCCTGTCTCCTTTGCAGGTTCTGCCTCATCTCCCTGTTCTCGCAGTTTTAGTGGTCTTTGGGGTTCCGTGTTGGGCATCCCCTTGCTGGCTACAGTCACTCCCTGGGGGATCTTGTCCAGGCTCAGGGCATTAAGGCTGTCTCTGCCCTGGTGGCTCCCGAGGCTGTGTTTCTGGCCCACCTACTCTCCTGAACTCCAGACCCGCACGTCCAGCCGCCTGCACCACCCTCCATTTGCTGGTCTCAGAGACATCTCAGCTTAACATGATCAAAACTGAATTTCTGAATTCTTGTCCGCCCCAGACCTGCTTCCCTGCCCGCTTCCCTGCCCCCTTCCCTGTTTCAGGAAGTGGCAACTGCACACTTCCAGTTGCTCAGGCCAAAAAGCCTTGGAGTCATCCTCCCCTCCTTTCTGCCTCACACAACATGTCCAGTCTATCAGCAGAGTCTGTCTAGAATCTGCCCAATTCTCACTGTATCCACTGCCACTTCCCTGAGCTAAATCATCATCTCTTGCCTAAATTATTGTAATTGTCTCTCAGCTCATCTCCTTGCTTCCACCTTGGCCCTCCAGTCTCTTAACACCCCTTATACCCTAAGTCATAGCCCATCATGCTTCTGCTCTAAGTCCTCCAGTGGCTCCCCTTCTCATCCAGGGCCAAGCCCAAGCCCTTCAGGGACCTGTCACCTCTGACCACATCTTCTACTTCCCCGTCACTCACTCTAACTGGCCACATTGGTGTCTGTCCTGCCTCAGGCCTTGGCAAGCGCTCTCTCTCCTCTGCCTGGAGCCCCCTCCCCCCTATTTCTATCAGCTCGTTCCTTTGGGCCTTCAGGTTTCTGCTCACACATCACCTGGCCCTCTGTCTGCCTATCTAAAAGAACAACTGCCTACCTCCTCACACTGCTTTACTTTTTTCCAGGGCACTTAGCACTGTCTGTCTTGTTACAGATTTACTTGTTTATTTTTGGCTCTTCTTATTAGAACATCAGCTCCTTGAAGACAGGGCTTCGAATTCTCACTGCTGTCTCTCCTACGCTCTGAACACTTTCTGGCACATAGTAGGTGCTCAGTAAACATTCATGCGATGTATATAGGAGCAGACATGCAGCTGGGCAGCCCCATGGTGAGGTCGGCGTTGGCCTGGAGGGCAGTGTAGGCGCAGAGGTGGGTGCTGTGAGGATAGGCTCTTAGGCAGAGTTTGAGGGAGAGCCAGCTGGCTGCCCACACCCTGCCCAGTCTCGGCCGCCCCGCACAGGTTCAATCGGGCAGCGCTCATCAACGTGGGCTTCCTGGAGAGTGGCAACAGCACGGACTACATCGCCATGCATGACGTGGACCTGCTCCCTCTCAACGCGGAGCTGGACTACGGCTTCCCCGAGGCGGGTCCCTTCCATGTAGCCTCCCCAGAGCTCCACCCGCTCTACCACTACAAGACCTACGTCGGCGGCATCCTGCTGCTCTCCAAGCAGCACTACCAGCTGGTGAGGCCTGGCTAGCCTGCTCCGCTGAGCCAGAGAGTGCCCCGCTGGGTGGGGGCACTGGCAGGGGGTGTGGCAGTTCGGGGCTCAGCAGGGGAACCCAGGAGCAGTGGAGACAGGAGAGGAGGGGGACTAACAGGTCGGTCAGGGAGAATTCAGCCACAGTAACAGAAACCTCGCTACACGCTGACTTCAGAGAAGTGGGGGTTCATTGGGTCTCAAAGCAGGAAAGTCTGGCATGGCTGAGAGGGGTGTCTGGCTTCAGGTTTGGCTTGCCCAGCCTCTCAGACATTGTCACCAGGGCACCGTTTCTCTTTTCATGTCTCATTTCTGCCTTCTTCAGGCTGGATTTCCCTCTAGACATTCAGGGTGTAGCTGTAATCCTTGTCCATCTAGGTCTACATCCAGTGGCAGAGGGAGTTTCTTCCCCACCAGCCAGCAAGAATCCCCGAGCTGCATCACACTGGCTCTTGGTTGGCCTGACTTGGGTCCCGGGCCCATCCCTGAGTCAGTCGCTGTGGCGGAGGGTGGGGCGGGAAGAACCAAGTGGCTTCACCTGGATCTCCTGTTCCTCACAAGGCTGAAGCCAGCTTTATGTAATGAAGCCCTGAGCCTGGTGGCAAGAATCAATGTCTGCCATAGAGCCCAACTGTCACTGTCCCACATAGAGGAAGAGACCAGGGCAGAGCCACCCCAGGGGAAGTAGGGAGGCAGAAGTCGAGCAAGAGCTGGCATGTCTGTTCATCACCGGCTCCCTAGAGAGGTCCCCTCCTGCTGATCAGATATTTTGAAAAACTAGTATCCCACACAAGTTCAAGGCCTCATTAGGACAGGCAAAGGGACGAGGATGTGCTGACCATCCTCCGTACTGCAGAGGTTGTGGGGACTTTTAGCATCTGTGTGTCTGTTTCGAACTGCCAGCTAGGGGGGCCTGGCCCAGCTTGGGGTGGGTACTCTGAGCGGTGGGAGACTAGAGAGTTGCCTAGGCAGGTGGGGCAAGTGATGCCGCCTGTCTCTGTGTCAGTGCAACGGGATGTCCAACCGCTTCTGGGGCTGGGGCCGTGAGGACGACGAGTTCTACAGGCGCATCAGAGGAGCCGGGCTCCAGGTAACACCCCGGGCCCCACTGCCGCCATCATGGCCACCCTGAGGCTCTTCTCTACCCTCAGATGATGTTCCTGGGGCTTGGAGATGGCACCGTGGTTCTGATCCCAGCCCTACTCCACTAGCACACTTCTTCTGCAGAACGGGAGTGCAGGCCCCTGCCTGTGGCCTGTGGCAGGCAGCGGGACCCCAGGGGACTAGTGTGAGGGCCAGGGCTCCACGAGGGCAGCCTGAACCAGCTTGCTTTGTTCTCCTTAGCTATTCCGCCCCTCAGGAATCACAACTGGGTACAAGACATTTCGCCACCTGCATGACCCGGCCTGGCGGAAGAGGGACCAGAAGCGCATCGCAGCTCAAAAACAGGTTCTGGCTGGTCCTGTGGGTGGTGACGTCGAAACCAATAGGCCCAAGTTCTCCTTGGGGCCAAATGGATCTGTCCTCCCCTGCTTGGCCCTGTCCTGCCCTGCTTGGCCCAGCTCAGTCGGTGGCATTCTGCTTAGATACCCTGCCCTGTTTGGTGGCTGCCATGGGCACCTGGGCACTGGGTCAACCGACCCCATGCAGGCTGGGTTGGGGGAGACTCAGCTGAAGGTGCGGGAATTCTAGGCAGACCTGGGACCCAGGAGTCCCCACTCCTCAAATAGCCTTTTCCCTAGGAGCCATATTAGTCAACTGAAAAATACCTGCTTCCCTGCTTACAGAGGGCTTGGCCACAGGCGAGAGCCTTCGTGGCTCTGAGCTTTACTCCTTCTCTTCAGCGGGGTCACAGGACCTTTGATGACAAGGTCCTGGGACATCAGTGGACACCTGGCATCCACAAAGCCCTGAGGTCATGCTCTCTCCTCCTTGTCTCCCCAGGAGCAATTCAAGGTGGACCGGGAGGGGGGCCTGAACACTGTGAAGTACCGCGTGGATTCCCGGACAGCACTGTCTGTGGGCGGGGCCCCCTGCACTGTTCTCAACATCATGTTGGACTGTGACAAGACTGCCACCCCCTGGTGCACATTTGGCTGAGTTGGCTGGACAGTAAGGAAGCCAGTACCTACAGGCCGCACTGCTACTCAGGCCCTGGACAAAGCCTCAGGGCCGTGGCCCAGCTCCAATAGGATGAAGCAGTGGACAGCAGGCCGTGTGTTTGCAGCAGCCCGGCCCCCAGAGCAGGCTTGCACCAGGCAAGACAGGACACACAGGGTGTCTGGGACACTGCTAGCAATAAACAGTGATGGAGAGAGCCTGGGACGTGGCTCCCAACTGGTCCTCTCCCCTCTTCTGTTTGCCCTGTTCTGCCCTCCTTTACCTGCTGAGACCTGCGGGCTTTTGTCCCTTCTCCCGGACCACGTCATGCAGATACGGTTTGGAGGTCAGGCTGCTGACATAGGCGGCCAGGGCAACCGGGAGGGTTAAACTGCAGAAACCAGAGTGTGAGCCCCACAGAAAGGGAACAGCTGAGAGCAGCTTTAGCTCGTCTTCACTGTGCAGAAAGGAGCCTAGTGTTGCCGGATATTCTGATTTTTCAAAAGAAACTAGAATTCTGGATTCTTAAGTGAAATAAGTTAATTATTAAATGATAGCAACTAATTGAAACTTGAAAAAGGTATGGCGATTCTTCAAGTTCACCAAACAAAATGTGTGCGGACCACCAGTTTGTCATCTGTGGCTGAGGGGTAGGGGATGGGACAAAAGATGACACTTCTCTTAGTTATAAGCTGGCAAGGAGTTGGAGCAGAGCTGGGATGATGAGGGCAGGGGAAGCTCGAGTGGAGAGAAGCCCAAGGCACCAGGTCCCTGCTACCGCCCTCAGCCCTCCGGGCTTCAGCACCCTCTGGGCAGTCCGACCACCGCCAGGCTCTGGGTCGGGGGGCCTCATCCTGCCTCACTGAGAGGGACAGAAACAGATCTGCAGGCCAGGACTTGGGGCTAGCAGGATTCAAGCAATGACTCAGTCATGGCTGGAGAAGGGAGGACTATGTTTCTGAGGTGAGAGTAAGAAGATGGGCAGTAGGGGAATCTAGCCCTGAGGGCATATTACCTGTGATCACCCAGTGCCAAGGACTGGTGAGGGAAGGGAGCCCAGGAGAGAAGGGTGATCCAGGAGGAAAGCCCAAGGCCAATGAGAGTAAGAGGCCAGAGGTCCTGCAAGGTAGATCATTTTTTCCAAAGGTTTAGGGTAGAAGTCAGAGGAGACTAGGAACCAGTTAAAACTGGTTTGTTTAACAGTTAATAGGACACCTGAAATGCTGGAGGAAGAGACTGAGGTCCCAGAGTTCAAGAGGGTGGATTCAGTAGGTCTGCTCCCAGAAGATCCGTCCTCTGAGAATGTTCCCAGAGCCTCTGTGAGCAGCTGCGCACTGTGCAAGCTAAGCATGCGCCAAGAAATTTAAGCAGAGATGAGTGGAGTGAAGGTTCAGGCTCTATGTAACTGTTTAGACATATAACAGAGGGTCCTTGTGATCCTAAATGGCCCTCACCCAGTGATTCAGCCTCATACCACAGTGAGGGGTGAACAGGCTGCAATTACAGTGCAAGGGTGTTGCTTTCTCAACTTGAGGCCCAGGAGAGGGGGCCAGTGTACTTTATGCCAGTCTGCTGGGCTTCAGACTTCTGCAACACGAAAGTGTAACTCCAGCCTTTTGGAGTTGGGGGGAATGGATGTGACATCAAAGCTCTGGGCTCTGTACTCATCTGGCACGTAGCATGACCTAAAAAATAGGGCGTTCTTTCCATCTGCACGGGGGATGGAATGAGCAGAAGCAAAGCAGGATCCGCTGACTCAGCCTGGGCAGGGGCACAACTCCATCCCCCATGCCCCACACTCCCTGTGGCCATTGCCACCACCTCCATCATTGAGATGCTTGTAGGCACCCCAGGCCAGGTCTGATGCAGCCCGCTTCACTCTCCAGCCGGGCCTCCACTGGGCCACTCCAGGAGTGTGGGAGAGGACTGGGCAGTGGCTGGCAAGGGAAAGAAGCAGATGGCTCCATTACTTCTTCAGCGCCTCGGCTGCCTCCTCCATGGAGCAGAGCTAATATCCCTGTCCGTGCCAGAGGTGTTGATGGAATGAAGCCGGGCTGAACCAGCACTTTCTGAGCATTCTTCACTAGAGCTCTCCCCCTAAGAGCTAGTCCTATTTATTAATCTGTTTTATAGCTGAGGACTGTGAAGCACAGAGAGTAGCTTGCCCAGGGTCAGAGAGCTGATACCTGACACCCCAACATGGTGCAGGAGTAGTGGGAGGTGGGCAGCAGAGGGAAGGTTAGGGCAAGCCATGAGGATCTGACTGCTACACAGAGCGACCTGTACTTTATTCTCTGGGTGCAGGGTTTTTGAGCAGGGGGCAGTTTTTGAGCAGGGAGAGACATAACAGTTAGGTCTGTGTTACAGAAAGGTCCATGAGGGTGGGATCCAGGCGGACTGTAGGATAGGGTCTGGAGCGAGGAGAGAGCCCAGGCCAAACGAGAGATGATGACACTAGAATAAGGCAGCAAAGGCAAGAAGCAAACTCCTGGTTCTGAGGAGCAAGGGTCATTGGTTCAGCCCTGGGCCTTCCTTCTTGGGGTTGGCTTCCCTGCACACTTTCCTGAAAGGCCAAGTGGGTATTCACGGCCATTCTGCCATCTCAGCCCTCATTCCTTGATAGCATTTTTTAAAAAACCAAAAGCCAAAGGAAAAGCAACTACCAGTTTCATCTCCAACACATAAAGGGTTTGAAAGTCATCGTTCCCATCTTCATAGCAAGAAAAAAACAAAAGCAACTACTTTTCTTGGTCCCATCAGAAAATTGAAGTTGCAGCATGAACTGCCCTGCAAATGTAGAGAGCCGGGCCAATACAGTCACAGCCTGGAGAGGCTGGCCCAGAGCAGACGCTGCTGTAGTCACACTGGTAGGAACTGTGAGCAGTAATTGTGACAAACTGATGCCACACTTACTTGCTGTACTGTCTTACTCGAGTCACAACCTCTCAGAACTTCAGTTTGGCCAGAGTTGTTGGAGGATTAAAAAAAGATAAGTAGGGTGAAATCCAAATTTCTTTCCATAGTTTAGTGTCTTAGTCGTTCAAGCTGCTAGAACAAAAACACCATAAACTAGGTGCTTAACAAATATGTTTCTCATAGTTCTGGAGGCTGAAAAGTTCAAGATCAAAGCACTGACAGATTCTGTATCTGGTGAGGGCCCATTTCCTGGTTCACAGGTGGCCATTTCAGTATGTCCTCACATGGCAGAAGAGAGCTCTGTGGGGTCTCTTTATAAGGACACATCTTATTCATGAGGGCTCCACCCTCATGACCTAATCATCTCCCAAAGGCCCCACCTCCTAACACCATCACCTTGGGGTTTAGATCTCAACAGTGAATTTGGGGGGACACACACATTCAGTCTATAGCATTTAGTTCCCAGTATTGTACCCCTGTGCATTCTTTAGTTTTGACAAATGCACTATGTTTACGTGAGATGCTAACCACAGTGGCTGGGCAGAGGCCTACAGGAACTTTCTGTTTTCTCTTTACAATTTTCCTGTAGATGTCAAATATTCCCAAAGGAAACTGTTCTAAAGATAAGTTACATGTGAGCAACACAGCAATTGCTCAGGAAATGATAGAACCTTGCCCTTTCCTCCAGGCTGACAGTAGAGAATTTCCTCGGCTGCTGTGTCCCTGCGAGCCACGCCCCCTCACCTGCAAGTAAGGTTTAGTTGTGGACTCCCTGGGCTGTGCTACTGAACTGGAAGTATTGTTTCACTTGATGAAAATGGAACTTTCTATTGTCTGATAGTGCAGTACTGATATTTCCTTCCCACAGGAAGGGATAAAGGAGGCATTTGTCCTTAATGAGCATCCCCCGTGTCCCCTTGTTCACAGAGGCCTTCCTACTATCCATTTGAAGGAGTTCACACGCACGCATGCACATCGCCCTGTTTTACTGCTCTCTCAGCTATCACCGTTAACTGGAATCTTATGTTCTCCCCCTGCTGCCCTATCCCCCTAGACATCAGCTGCCTAAGCTCAGTGCCTGGGTGTCTTGTTCACTGCTATGTCCTCAGTGCCTGCGCTGCTTGGTAGGCGCTCAGTTTAAATGGAATTGAGCTGAAATTCCCTGGTGGCAGGGCCCAGCCTGCAGTGCCGGCTGCTGCTGCTCAGGCCTCCTCCGCCCTAAGGCTGATGTTTTACTCTCTTCTCTGGTCCTGCCCCGAGGACTTGGTGCCTCACTGCCCCCTCCATCTTCTTTGTTCACTTGCCCTTTCCATCTTCTTTATCTGTCTGCCAGCAGCTGCCACGCGAACTGCCAGCCTTAATTCTGTTTCATTTAAGCTCATTTGCACTGATTTCTTTTTTAAGAACAACAGTGTAGCCCCCTGAAGAGCAGCACAAGTTGTGGGTGGCCAGCTTCCTTTCCCTGTGAGCACAGAGCAGCAGAGAGAAGGCGTTCCTGAAATGGCAGTTTCCTCCTCTCTGGGAACTCACTGGAGCAGGGCCCAGGTCACAGGGCTCAGGTCACAGGCCCAACCTCAGGTGTTTCCTAGAAAGCCCTGGGCCAGGACAGGGGGAAGCCTAGAGACTCAGAGATGCTCAGCTCCCAGTGGACACGGGGTCCACTGCACACACCCAAAACTGGACTTTAAGGGGTGGGAAGTCCAATGTGCTTTTGGGGCTGACACTTCTTTCCTCACAGCTATGAGGACCCACCCTGTGTCCTCATCACAGGGACTTTTGACCTCAGACAGTCCTGGGGGCCACAACCCAGGAGGGGGTTCTGTTCTGCTCCCTGGAAACTGGAGTGAGAAGGAGATTCAGGAAGAGTATCCCCACCCCAGGGAACACAGAGGCCACATCAAGATACATTTGGCCTGACCAGACGGCCCTTTCAGTGTGCTGGCCTAGACTCTCAGCCCAGAATGGGGAAACGGACTTTCTAACACGTTATCACAGCCACCTCTCACTTTCTGCTGCTGCAGAAGACTCATTAACACATAATTAAATCATCTTGCTTTTCATAGAAATGAAGCCAAGGTGGGAAGTGGGGGAGCCAGAAGCCAAAGGGCCCTACCTGGAAGAACAGAAATCCTTGGGGTTAGGTCAGCCCGATGAGTGGAACTGGATCTTTAGCCTCAGCCCAATGAAATACGAATCTTGCCTCCACCGTTAATTCACTGCAACCTCAGGCAAGTCACTAAACCTCTCTGAGCCTAGGTTTTCACATCTCTACTTTGCGTGGCTGCTGAGAATAAATGAGATAGTGTACGTATCTGGTGGTGTGTGGTATCTGACACATAAGGAGCACCCAATAAATAGTAGCTGTTATTATCATAGACAGCCTTCAAAACAATGAATGAGGCCATCTTTACTTTCTTTCAGAGAGTCACATTCCGTCATGATGTCAACCATTCTTGCCCAAAAGTGCACTGGGGCTTACCGAAGACTCAGAAGGCCTTGCAGAAAGATTTGGGCCATTTCCACACCTGCGCATGAATTCACTGATTGCTATCAGCTAGATTGTGCTCCTTTATAATATTTGTAGTGGCCTAGATTAAAAAACGAAACAAGCACAAACCACCTACGACAACAGAGAAAGAAATGCATAGTTCCTGGGCTCTACA